ACCAGAGGGACAGGGAGTTGGGGGCTGGCTACAAAGGGTGAAGGGATTAAGAAGTACATATTGATAGTTACTAAATAGTTACTGGAAGGTAGAATACAGTATAGGAAATATAGCCAATTATATTGTAATAACTATGCATGGTGTCATATGTAAAATAATACTGAATGCTAAGTGTAATTAAAAATTTGTTTTGCCCTACCCGGTTTGGCTCAGTGGATAGTGTTGGCCTGTGAACTGAAAGGTCCCAGGCTCAATTTCCGTCAAGGGCACATGCCCGGGTTGTGGACTTGACCCCGAGTTGGGGGCTTGCAGGAGGCAGCCGGTCAATGATTCTCTCTCATTATTGATGTTTCTGACTCTCCCTCTTCTTTCCTCTCTGAAATCAATTTTTAAAATATATTTTTAAAAAACGTGTTTAAGTAAAATAATAATAATAATAAAAAGAATGTTTACTTTCTCATTTTTTGGGAAGCATGCCAAAAAGACTTTTCCAAGACACATCAACTTCTGGGCAGCCACGTATACCTATGCTGGTTGTATTCTGCACAACCAGCACATTGTTCACATTGCACTCAACATGAGTGGAATGTATTGTGCCATGCCTGACCCACAGAGCTCTATGTTGTGGCCAGATAAATTATACCCACTATTTTTCACTTAACAGCAACTTGTTGAACCCAGTGTGCAAACAAAGTATTACACAAACTTTCCTGGAGATAACTGCCATTTTCACACATCAATAATCATATCACAGTTAGCATATCAAACATTTAATGACACGGCAATACTTAGTGGGAAGATGTACTAATAAGGTAAAAGCAATAAACGAATTAATAAAATTGCTATTTCTAGAAACCAGGAGTCTTTTTGAAAAGCAAAGTGTGATGTCAAATGGCATCTAACTCCATGCCAAGCTTGATGGCTGCCAAGAGTTGTTTATGCTTCATCTCCGGGGCGGCTCTTTATCTCTTTAAGACTTGGATTCACAGATGGTACATGTTTTCTTGAACAGTGTCATTAATTTATTTAACATATGGTTGCTAATTATACGTTCTGAGTGCATCAGCTGTATTAGTTTGCAATGGTCTCTTTGATACAGCATGTGGGAAAGAGGAACTGCGGGCAATACCCTGCAAGACCTGTTCCTCTCTTGGCAAGTTGAAGCAGTCTAATGTACACTGATATACACTTTTTCTGCTCTTTTTTAAATTTACATTTAATTGACATATAGTTAATGTACATTATGAAACAATAATTCACAACTAGGGAACATTAGGCAATGGAAGCAAACCTTTTCATTAATCTATGCAGCAATCTGAAATAACTCTGCTCAATGGAATGAGTAAATTCTGCTATTCAGGAATCATTTATGTCCTAGCTGGTTTGGCTCATGGATAGAGCGCCAGCCTGTGGACTAAAGAGTCCTAGTTCGATTCTGACCAAGGGCACATGCCCAGGTTGTGGGCTCCATCCCCACTAGGGTGTGTGCAGGAGGCAGCTGATCAGTATCTCTCATCATTCATATTTCTATCTGTCTCTCCCTCTCTCTTCCTCTCTGAAATCAATAAATTAAAAAAATTAACAAAAAGAATCATCTTCCGCCAAAGCAGTTTGGCTCAGTGGTAGAGCGTCGGTCTGTGGACTGAAAGGTCCTAGGTTCGATTCCGTTCAAGGGCATGTACCTGGGCTGTGGGCACATCCCCGGTAGGGGTTGTGCAAGAGGCAGCTGGTCGATGTTTCTCTCTCATCGATGTTTCTAGCTCTCTATCTCTCTCTCCCTTCCTCTCTGTAAAAAATCAATAAAATATATTAAAAAAAAAAGAATCATCTTCCACATGCAGCTAGAATTCTAGAAGCTCCTAATCTGAATTAGCCAGAGCCTGTAATAATTTCTGCACATGAATCTTACCATCCTAGCCACTAACAGCTGTCTCCACACTTCAGTGACAGACATGGAAAGAACTACGGATCTTCAATCAGTTACAATCGTATCCTGGAGTGACATATCATCAATAATGAAAGACAAACTTTCTATAATTACCATTAACTACAAAGTTCATAATTTTTTAAAGAAATGTTAATAAGATGCTAATTTCCAAATTGAGGTTTTTAAATATCCTTTCATTATAATAGCTAACTAACATTTATATGCCACATTGTAAGTGCTTTCATATTTTTAATTTTATCTTTCCAATAACCTTAGTTATCTTCTTGTGTGTGTTTTACAGATCAGAAAACGAAGGACCAGAGAAGGTTAGTAACGTGTTTGAAGTTACATGTTAGATAAATGGCAGAGATGAAATTGAAACCTGAAACTAAATCTCATTTACCTTTTTTCTCTACCAAACTGTCTGCCATATGTTGGGTTTTAAACCTTTCATTTTTCTTCCATTTTTGGTCCAGCATACATTCTTCTAACTGCAAGAGAAGAATCACATGATACCCTTGATTAGAATGCAGATTCCTAGGTCTCCATCACTGTGAAGTCTGGGGATGCTGCATAACTAGCATCCCGCATAATTCAGTTGAGATGATCTGACATGTGGAATTAAGCTAAAACCCCCTGAAATGAGAACAAAGAGCTTTTTCCCCCCAGATCTTGCTATAGCAAGAGTCAGTCACCCACATTTGCTCTTGGAAGAGGCTCAGACAGGCATGGGAATGGGAAAGCTTTAAATAAGAGTGATAACAAAGGGGACAGGCCCTGACCGGTTTGGTTCAGTGGATAAAGTGTCGGCCTGCGGACTTAAGGGTCCCAAGTTCAATTCCAGTCAGGGGCATGTACCTTGGTTGGGGGCACATCCCCGGTGGGGGGTGTGCAGGAGGCAGCTGATTGATGTTTCTCTCTCATCGATGTTTCTAACTCTCCCTCTCCCTTCCTCTCTGTAAAAACATCAATAAAATATATATATTTTTTAAAAGGTGGAAGGTCTCAGGCCTTCTCTGATTGGAGATTGCTGGCCTGGGCAATCTTGACGGGCTACTAGAAACAGGGGGTATTTTATGTCATTGGTTTAGGGAGTCTATTTGGCTTTCTCTGGTGGTCCTGAGTTGGAAGTAGGGGTAAAAATAGGAAGTTGGCAGTCTTGACCAGTCCTGCCTGGTCTGGTCCAGCTGCTGCAGAGGTTGTGATTTGGCTTCCTGAACTGCTTATGTGATTCGGAGTTCTGTTGTCACATACAGTCTGGCCATTGTCCATTTGTATATTCTATCTTTCAGGACACACACACACACAGAGGAGAGAGAGAGAGAGAGAGAGAGAGAGAGAGAGAGAGAGAGAGAGAGAGAGAGAGAGAGAGAGACAGACACTGGGTCTCTGGGGTTCCTTTCATCCAAGTCTCCTTCCCCGCTTAAGAAGGCTAGACTCTAATCTCTATGACAGCTGTATTCACCCTTCTACCACCAGCGCCTAGCCCTACCAGGCTCTCAAGAAAACCCTACAAATAAGTGAATGACACAGGAAACTGTTTGATATCGGCTTTTGTCGGATCAGAAAAGGAACTTTCTGGAGTAGCACATGGACATCCTTACGTGACTGGGCTGGCTATCCCCCGGAGGAAGACGGGTGAGTCCTTGGCCCTGCTGCCCCGAGTCTATGCCAAAGCCCCGGGTTAACCCCTGGTGCAAATCACCCCCAGGGGCTCCCTCACTCCTGAGCGCGGTGTTGGGGGGCGGGAGGCGTTGGTGGGAAAGCCGCAGCTCCTCCTGGATGTTGGAGACAACCTCAGTGCCAGACCTTAGGTTTTGTTGCATTCTCTCCCTTCTCTTCCACCCTGGGTCTGGCGGGAGCTACTGAAGGAAGGGAACAGGCCACCCCGCTCCAGCCCTCCATGTGCCCAGGACTGAGCTCAATGTGTCCGGAGGGCAATGCTCGGGGGTGCGTGTGCTTGAGAGACAGACCCCAGGAGAGGGGAGAGCTCCCGGCCCGCGCGGTCCCGGGGCAGCCGCCCCACCTGCGGCGGGGAGACCGCCCGGAGGGCTCGGCCCGCCGCCGGGGGCTCCGGCGCCCAGGCCCGCGGGGGGCTGATCGGCGGAGGCGGGGAGCAGCCGGGGCACCAAAATAGGCGCCGTTCGTGGGCCGGAGCCGCACTGGCGGGCGGCCTCCGCCGCGCGCTTCCAAAGATGGTCAGAGGGTCCGGCGGCGCCCCCGCCCCGCCCCCGCCCCCGCGGGCAGCAGTCCCCGGCCGCCGAGGTAGGTGCGGGGCCGCGCCGGGGCCGGAGCGGGGAGCGGGGGCCGAGGCCGCGCCCCGGGGCCGCGCCGAGGCGCCGAGACAAAGGCCGGCGGCGGGGGCCGGGCGGGCGGGGCGCGGGGCCCCCGCACCTGCGGGACCCGGGCTCCGGGCCGAGGGCGGCGGCGGCGGCGGCGGCGGAGGCCCCGCGCCGGGCGGGCAGGCGGGGAGCGGGGCGCGGGGCGCGGAAACCCCCGGCTCCGTGGGGAGGGCGCGCCGCTCCCCGCCGTCTCCTTCCTTCCTTCCTCCGGGGAGGCTCCGGCTCCCTCTTCCCGGAGCTCTGGCCCCGGTATCTTCCCATCGCCCCTCCTCGGCACCTCGAACCGACTAGAGAGCGAACACGGTGGAATGGGGATCGAACCCAGGCCGGCGCCCCTCGGTTGAATGGGGTGACCCCTCGGGCACTTTGTTTGCCAAGAGCGGGATGTCCCTCGGAGCGCCCGCTCGGGACAGATGGAGACTGTGCAATGGGGGTAGAAAAAAATTCCAATTGCACAGTCTCCATCTGTGCAATTCCCCCCCCCCCCCCCCCCCCCCTAGAAAGGACTATTGAAAAATCCGGGGGCTTCATTTCAGGCTCCGAGCTACCCTGAATTGAAATTGACCACCGTCTCAATGATGAAAGAGTCCATCCACATCTTGCATTCAGAATGTCGAACTTAGTCTAGTTTTGGATTTTATTTGGCGTCAAGCAATCGTTCTAACGATTGGAATGTGTATTATTGATTATATGCAAAATTGAAAACACGTTGTTTCATATGTATTGCAGCCATGGCTCTAAAAGGACAAGAAGATTACATTTACCTTTTTAAGGACGCAGCGCATCCCGTGGATTTTCTGGATGCATTCAGGACATTTTACTTGGATGGATTATTTACGGATATCACCCTCCAGTGCCCGTCAGGCATCATCTTCCACTGCCACCGAGCTGTTTTAGCTGCTTGCAGCAATTATTTTAAGGCAATGTTCACAGCTGACATGAAAGAAAAGTTTAAGAATAAAATAAAAATCTTTGGCATCCACCATGATATTTTGGAAGGTCTTGTAAATTACGCGTACACTTCTCAGATTGAAATAACCAAGAGAAACGTGCAAAGCCTGCTTGAAGCGGCAGACCTGCTGCAGTTCCTCTCCGTGAAGAAAGCTTGTGAGCAGTTTTTGGTGAGGCACCTGGATATTGATAATTGCATTGGAATGCACTCCTTTGCAGAGTTTCACGTGTGTCCGGAGCTAGAGAAGGAATCTCAGAGAATCCTGTGTTCAAGGTTTAAGGAGGTATGGCAACAAGAAGAATTTCTGGAAATCAGCCTTGAAAAGTTGCTTTTTATCTTGTCCAGAAAGAATCTCAGTGTTTGGAAAGAAGAAGCCATCATAGAGCCAGTTATCAAGTGGACTGCTCATGATGTGGAAAACCGAATTGACTGCCTATATAACCTACTAAGCTATATCAACATAGATATAGATCCTGTGTATTTAAAAACGGCGCTAGGCCTCCAAAGAAACTGCCTACTCACCGAAAATAAAATACGGTCTCTAATATACAATGCTCTGAGCCCCAGGCATAAGGAGATTTCCCAGAGGTCCACAGCCACGATGTACATCATTGGAGGCTATTACTGGCACCCTTTGTCAGAGGTTCACATATGGGACCCCTTGGCAAATGTTTGGATCCAGGGAGCAGAGATGCCAGATTATACTAGGGAGAGCTATGGGGTCACATGTTTGGGACCCAACGTTTATGTAACGGGGGGTTACAGGACAGATAACATAGAAGCGCTTGACACAGTGTGGATCTATAACAGTGAGAGTGATGAGTGGACGGAAGGGTTGCCGATGCTCAATGCCAGGTATTACCACTGCGCCGTCACCCTGGGTGGCTGTGTCTATGCTCTGGGCGGCTACAGGAAAGGGGCCCCGGCGGAAGAGGCCGAGTTCTATGATCCACTAAAAGAGAAGTGGATTCCCATTGCAAACATGATTAAAGGTAAGTGCAGATTATGCTGTTCCGTTATTTATTTAATTTTTTTTTTAGGTGTTTGAGGTTAGGCCCACAGTCTTGCTTCTCTTGCAAATAACTTTAAAGAAGAGTTTGCTTTGGAATGCTATCTGGGAACTAGAGTGGGTTATACAAATCATGTTGTGCAGAATGTTCCAAGGAAAGGCATAGAACAGCAGTCCCCAATTTGTCTGAGATTTATGATTTTTAGGCTAGAAAAGACATCTTTTTTTTTTATTAGAAACCAGTATAACTCATTCTTCTGATGCTTCCACCTGTTTTGAGACTAGATCTCACGCAAGTATTAAGAATTTACATTTAAGGCAAAGGCTAAATAGAGAAAGCAGGGTAGTTTTATTAGTTTGTGCTTATTTATTTATATTGGTTTGCTCTTGAAATTGAACCCTTTTTTATTCTGCTCTTATTCTTTATTTTCTTATTTTTAAATATATTTTTATTGATTTCTGAGAGGAAGGGAGAGAGGGAGAGAGAGAGAGAGAAACATCAGTGATGAAGAGAGAATCGTTGATTAGCTGCCTCCTGCCCACCCCCTACTGGGGATCAAGCTGGCAAGGAGGGCACGTGCCCTGAGTGGGAATGGAACTGGTGACCTTTTTGTACATGGGACAATGCTCAACCCACTAAGCCACACCAGCCAGGCTGATCTTTTATTAAAACTTGAAAGTTTGGTCCCTGAAGGATATAACAAATTACATTCTCTCAAAACTAGATATAGCCTCTGCTTTTTTTTTTTTTTTAAGTAAATGTATGGAGATGACATTGGTTATATATGTATGTTTTGTTTGTTTGTTTGTTTGATTTTTTGCTTGATTCCTTCACCTTATTTCATCCAGCATCCCCCCCCCCAAAAAAAAAAAAATTCCCTCCCTCTGACAACTGTTAGTCTGTTTCATATATCCCTGCATCTGTTTCTGTTTTGTTCCTCAGTTTATTTTGTTCATTAGATCCCACATTATCAGTGAGACCATTTGTCTTTCTTTGACTGGCTTATTTCACTTAGCATTATAATCTTCAGGTTCATTCACGCTGTCACAAAAGGTAAGACTTTCTTTCTCTTTTGTATGGCCTAATAGTATTCCAGTGTATAAATGTACCACAGCTTTCGGACACCTGGGCTGTTTCCAGATCTTGGCTACTGTACATAGAGCTGCATATGTTCTCTCGAATTAGTGTTTCAGGTCTCTTTGGATATATTCCTAGGGGTGGGATCACTGGGTCAAAAGGCAGATCCATTTTTAATTCTTTGAGGAAACTCCATACGGTTTTCCACAGTGGCTGTGCCAGTCTGCATTCCCACTAACAGTGCACGAGGGTTTCCTTTTCTCCACATCCTCTCCAGCACTTCTTTGTTGAGCCTCTGCTTTTTTTGATTCTAGTCTTGTCTCATGGTGTTAAAAAGAGAGGCAGATCCCTCATGTGGCAAAGAGAGCCAGGCACGCCGCTGAGGCTCACTGTCTGTCTGATCAACTCTATCTTTTCTGCTGTTTGACACTAGATTAGCCTTGCTCTCTTTCCCTCCCCCCGGAAAAAGTTACACTGGAATCTTAATCACATTATGTTTTGGTGCTGGGGCGTTGCACATAAACAGTTGGTGGTTGGTTACCCAATTTGTGTCATTTTATTCCGAATGTTTCTTCCCAGGCCTCTCTGTTTCTTTTTTTAACACTGGTGAGGGTGTGGGAATCTGACCTGGTCTGGGAATCTGACCTGGTATGATCCTTGGAGGACAAGCAGGAAGCCTGAGAGGCAGAGAGGTCTTGTGATCAGGCACTCTGCTTCTGAAATGGATCTGCCTGAGCCCACATCCCAACTTTCCACGCATTTGCTGGCGAGCTAGGGCAAATTGCCATCTGTACAATGGGAGTGACATGACTTAGTTTAGAGTTTTGAGAGGATTAAATGAACCCAAGCACGGGAAGCACTTAGCAGCATTAGGCATTGCACTCATGGACGTCATTATAGGAGAACACAACAGCTTCGTGGGGGCAGAATTATTTTTCATATTAAATCCTGACCACACTCCTTCCCAAAGGTGCAGCAGTGGTGGGTAGGGTGCTCTGAGCATGACCCTCACTTACAGATAGTCAGTCCCCTCTCCAAGGTGATTCCAAATATCCTGCCTGACTCCTCGTTTACAAAGGAAATAAGGGCACTGCAAATGTGTTAGCAGCTATTGTAAACCTAGATACATTTCTGCCTGTTTGTTTTCTTACAAGAAAAATGTCTTTGTTGATTTCAGAGAGAGGATGGGAGAGGGAGACAGGGATAGAAACATCAATGTTGAGAAAGAATCATTGATCAGCTAGCTGCCCCCCATTGGGGATTTAACCCGCACCCCTGGCATGTATGTGCTCTGATGGGAATTGAGCCTAGACCTCCTGGTTCATAGGTTGATGCTCAACCACTGAGCCACACCAGTTGGGCTGCCTCTGCTTCTTAATGATAAGGTTCAGTGATTTTGTAGTTTACAGTATATTGCTTTGAGGACAGAAACCTATTACTTTACTGAAATGTTGTTAAAATCTTTGAAGCAACGCTTGCTGAAAATAAAATGCTGCAATGGTGTACCCACCACGAAAGAAAGCTGAATGTGCTTTTGACAGCTTAAAAGGACTGGGAGGCCTTCCTATGCAAAAGTCCTCCCTCACTTACCAGCTGGGTTTGCAATGTCTAACTTTTTATGCTTTTAGTTTGAAGGTTTGATTCCTGGTTATACTTCATCATCACAGGAAGGGTAACACTTTGTCAGTTATGTGTAGTGTTGGCTAGTTCCGATGCTCAGACTCTGCTGAACTTTTAGTTTTCCGTTCTTATGTAGAGAGGATAACGTTTCCCCCTCGTTTATTTTATTTTGTAGTCTTGAGGTGAACTAGCTTCTTTTTCTGGGAAATTGGGAAGAGTCAAATTTCAAATTAATTTCCTTTCTTGGTTGAGCGAGGTACGAAGAAGAAATAAATAGATGGCTTTTTAGGAACTTCTAACTTTTACCCCCTCATCACAATTGCCCCGCTTATAAACTCACTTTTGGCCCAGCTGCAGTGGCTCAGTGGTTGAACATCAACCCCAGGAATCAAGAGGTCACTGGTTCTATTCCAGGTCAGGGCACATACTGGGTTGCAGGCTCTATCCCCACTGGGAGGGAAGGGGAATACGGAGGCAGCTGATCAAGGAGGTTTTCTCTCTCATTGATGTTTTTATCCCTCTATCCTTCTACCTTCCTCTCTCTCTAAAAATCAATAAAAGCATGTTAAAGAAATAAACTCACTTCTGTTTTGGAGTAGAAATGAACAAGGAGCCTGAACTGCACCCACCAGGTAACATGCTAAATGAAAGTTGGTTGAAAGACTAAGCTGACATTTTGATTAAAATGAACCTCATCATCATTCTTTCTTCTTGGTCCCCTGCTGAAACCATTTTCTCTTTCTCATTTTTCTGTGACATCAGTGCTCCCCAGTTTTCTGAGCTCAGGACCTCAGAATTCATCTTGTCTTCAACTCAGTCAGTCATCAAGGCCCTCCTGTTTTACCTTTGTCTCTTGCCTCTGTGCACCTTCCTCTATGCCGTGGTCGGCAAACTGCGGCTCTCGAGCCGCATGCGGCTCTTTGGCCGCTTGAGTGTGGCTCTTCCACAAAATACCACATGTGGGCGCACACGTACAGTGCTACTGACACTTCGTGGCCCATGTGTAGAAGTCTGTTTTCGGCTCTCAAAAGAAATTTCAGTCATTGTACTGTTGACATTTGGCTCTGTTGACTAATGAGTTTGCCGACCACTGATCTATAGCATAGAGTCTATACCAAGGCCGCTTCTATAATAAGTCAGGCCCTCAACACTTTGTACCTGGACTAATTCTATTAATATCCTTCTATGCTAGAGACCCTCCTTTCTTTTGTTTAAAAACTTTTAAAATCCTGTAGAATCACCTTAGCTGGTTTGGCAGAGTGGATAGAGCTTGCGGACCAAATGGTCCCGTGTTCGATTCTGGTCAAGGGCACGTACCTTGGTTCCAGACTCCTCCCCAGCCCGGGCCCTGGTCAGGGCTCATGCAGGAGGCAAACAATTGATGTGTTTCTCTCACATCAATGATTCTCTCTGTCTTTCACTCTTCCACTCTCCCTAAAAAATAAAAAAATAAAAATAAAAAATCAATGGAAAAATATCCTCGGTTGAGGCTTAACAACAACAAAATCCTGTTGAATCAAGTGTAAATTTTTGAATTGGGCATCAGGACTCTTTGCCACGTGGCTCCAACTTACTCTGCCAGCTGTAATTCCCACAGGTCAACCCCAGGTGTGTCACCGTCCCTTCCAGGGCGGCAGAATCAGAACCACTGCTTGAATCTTCCAGTAAGCCTTTGCGCTTGCCTTGCCCTCCTTAGAGTGGCTTCCTCTCACCTCTGCCTGCCAAAGTCCTACCTACTAAGACTCAAGTCAGATTTTGCCACCTCCTGCCGTGATTTCCCAAGTCAAAAGTAATGTCTCTTTGTTTTGCACGTCCACAGTAGTGGTTCTGTACCCTGTGCTCTTAGGTGTAAATGTCGCACTTTCTTTTAAAAGAGTACAAGGAGCCTTGCTTTTTATTTTTTTTAAATATTTTTATTGATTTCAGAGAGGAAGGAAGAGGGAGAGGGAGAGGGAGATAGAAGCATCAATGATGAAGGAGAATCATTGATTGGCTGCCTCCTGCACGCCCCACACTGGGGATCGAGCCTATAACCCAGCCATGTGCCCTGACCGGGAATCGAACCGTGACCCCCTGGTTCATAGGTCGACGCTCCACCACGGAGCCACACTGTCTGGGCAGGAGCCTTTCTTTTTCATTCTTCTATCCTTCAGAGCACCTAGGGACAGTGCCTTTTATCTACTATCCATAATAACAAAGACAATACAATATTCATTGCAAAGCAGAATGGAAGATCAATCTGAAGATGTGATTTTAATTAACACACAGGTGTGGGAAATGCTACTGCCTGTGTCTTACATGAAGTTATCTACGTCATTGGTGGACACTGTGGCTACAGAGGGAGCTGCACCTATGACAAGGTCCAGAGCTACAATTCGGATTTCAACGAATGGAGCCTCATCACTTCTGGGCCCCATCCAGGTAACAAAATAGTGTATGTCATGATATAGCCTGTCAGTGTAAGAGATGGCTAAAAATGGGCTGGAAATAGGAAAACGCTAAATTTATAGCAGACGACACATGGATTTAATTAAAAGGCTCAAAATAGTCATGTGTCCATGTAACAATAATCCCAATTTAGATTATTCAGATTAGATCATGTGTACAAATACTCCCTCCCCCCCCCAACATACATTTTAAGTCTCTGTGATTAAAAGTAGTTTCTTTAAAAAAAAAAAAAATTTCAGCCTTAGCTGGTTTGGCTCAGTGGATAGAGCATCAGCCTGCAAACTGAAGGGTCCCAGTTTGATTCCGGACAAGAGCACATGTCCGGGTTGTAGACTTGATCCCCAGCAGGGGGCATGCAGGAGGCAGCCAATCAGTGATTCTCATCATTGATGTGTCCCTCTTTCTCCCTCTAGCTTCCTCTCTGAAATCAATAAAAGTATATTTGAAAAAAAATTTTTTCACTTAGATTCTTTTTTATTTTCTGTTCCTTATGTGCTTTCTTTCATTTACATGCCTTATATAAACATAATTTTTATAGACAGATAAAAGGCACTAGTCTATCCAGTAGTTGGGAAGGGTGCCTGGTGATTCAGTTCAGCAGGAGATGTTTTCTTCTTTTAGAAGCATATTCTTTCTGGGTGTCAATAACGGTTAGGCATTCCCTCCTACAATGTGGAGAGCCTTCTGTTGGCCTTACTTTAACAATCATAAAGGGGATATGTTGTCTCCCCACAAGGAATGGCCTGCTTTCTTTGGTGTCTTTTGTTCTCTGACTTGTGTCTTTGAAGAACTTGGGGAAAGCATAAGCTATTTCCTGTTACAGTTATGCCTTATGTTTAAGTTTTTCATTAGGAAAGATTAATATCACCAAATCACCACACTACTTTGAGTCACTTTCCATATAGCATCAGGCTTCCATGTGAGTTACTGGGACGCGTACCGTATTTTCTGGCGTATAAGACGACCCCCCCTAATTTTACAGTTAAAACATAGGTTTAGGCCTATATTCGCTGTATAAGACTACCCCCCACTTCCGAGGCAACACCAGTTCTTCTTTTAATAGACCGCCTCTCTGACTCTTGCCAATCTGGGCAGGCTTTTTTTTGTTTCCAAAAGTCGCCTTATACGCCGGAAAATGCGGTAACTGAAATGCATAAGCTGGAACCATCTGAGAGGAATAGTAACAGCTAACCTTGAGCACTTTTCATAGGCCAGGTATTAACTAAACACTTTGTGTGTAATATTACCTTAAATTCTAACTACAACTCTGTTAGTAGGCATTGTTTACCCCATTACGTATTTGGAAGTGGAAGCTTAGAAGGAGATACGTTGCTAAGGACACAGTTTGGAAGTGATAGACGAGGATTCAGTTCAGACAGATTGCATAAACTGTGCTATACCTACTGAGCAATCCGCTTCTCCTTAAGGGAGCAGGTTCTCCTGCTTTTGACCACTGCAGCTACTAACACCCATAGGTCACATATGTTATCTCACAGTTCAGGTAGAGCACACCTGAATCAGGTGCTACATCTTCATATATCATGGGCTTTGCATAAGAAGACACTTCAGCTTCATGCTGTCCTGGCTCCGAAGATGTCATTGAATGGAGAGACTGTTTCCTAGTAGCCTATATGTATTATCACAAACTCCCATCACTTTCCATATAACCAATCCTATATTATAAAAAGATAATATGCAAATTGACCATCACACAGTCACAAATATGTCAGCACCCACAGTGAGGGCAGGGCCAGCTGCTCTGCATGCCTGCCATCGGAGTCCCTTCAACCCCACTGGAGGCCTTGGGTCCTCCTGCACCCCCCAATGACTGACAGCTCGCCAAGGCCCCTCCAGAGAGCTGTCCATCCTTCTCTTCCTGCCTCCCCCGAAGCTGAAGCCTGACTGTGGTGTCCAACAAATTGGAAGTTATAACTCATGTCGTTGAGAGTACCCTCCATTCCTCAGCCAGGGACAGCCGCTCTGCGTACCTGCCATCAGAGTCCCCTCAGCCCCACTGGGGGCCTTGGGTCTTCCTGCATCCCCCACTGACTGAGGCTCAGGCAAGGAGGGCCGGCTGAGATACAGGCAAGCCTTGGATGGTGGCTGTCCAACTGCCCAGAGCTGGCCCGAGGTGCAGGCAAGCCTCAGATGGCAGCTTCCAAGCCATCCAGGGCCGTCTGAGGCTCAGGTAACCAGGGCTGGCTGAGGTTTGCACTGCTGGCAGTGGCAGCAGCAGAAGTGTGATGAGGGTGTCACCTTCTCTGATCACCAGGTCACCTCCCACCCCTGAGAGTTCCCGGACTGTGAGAGGGGGCAGGCTGGGCTGAGGGACTCCCCTCCAGTGCATGAATTTTCATGCACTGGGCCTCTAGTGAAGTTAAAATGGAAAATAATATTAATAGCTCATATTGAGTAATAGCTAATATTTATTCAGTATGAATGTGCCAGGCACAAACTATTCCAATAGTTTTACATGTATCCATCCATGTAAACTTTACCACAATCTTGTGAGCTAGTTGCTATTATTATCTCTATTTTCTAAGGCACACAGTAAATAAATTGCCCAAGGTCAGCCAGCTAATGCTTGTTAGAGATGAGGTTTTAATCCAGGCAATCTGCCTGGGAACACCATGCTCTTCACAACTACACTGTTATCTCATTTGATCCTCCTGTTAACCTTATGAGTTAGCTATTACTCTGAGTTAGCTTTACAAAGAAAATCCAACATATGAAATGTCAGATTAACAAACTAGAGGATAGTTATTTACATTATAAATAATACATATTTCATAAAGGGGTTCTTTGAAAAATAAATATCTTATAGCATGTTCTAATTACATATAACTTGTTCACTGCTTGAAAAAGTCTAAAAGTCAGTGAGACTTAAGCCAAGGTGTGAAAAGCTATGACAAATTGAAAAATCAATTAGAAATAAACATTAAATTGCCGTATAAATCAGGGGGAACTTATAATCCAATTTGAAAAATTTTGATTTACACTGGACTTTGGATGGCTCTCCATGCCTGGAGAGACCGATGCCATAGAGGATATAAGCCTCATCTAAAGGCAACAACCACTACTTAGCCACAGTGATGGCTGTCAGGAAGGAATATGAGTCAGGAAAATTTAAAAATGGAGAACTGTCAGAAGTGTCAGAGCCAGAGAATGAGATGTGATGAGTTCTAATTTTAAGAGAGCTCCTTTTAGACTAGATTGGGAGGAAGATAACAGCGAGGCCTACTGAAACTATTGGTAATAAACCAGGTAGGAAAAGCTGAAAGCTGAAGTGGTGGAGTAGGAAATGGGCAGCTATGTGGAATATTTCAGATTCGACATTGCTTGAATTGGTAGTGATTGCTGTCTTGACTGATTAGATACAGGAAATGAGGGAAAGAAAGTAGTTGACAGTCGTTCCAGGGTCTCTGGCTGGTTGACTAGGAGGATGGAGAGGACTGAAGGAACAGCCAATAGGAAGGGAGAAGTGGAGAGATAACGAGCTCAGTTTTGTAGTTGAATGTCAAAAATGAGTTGGATAACCAGCGGAGCTGTGCAGAAAGCAATAGGAATTTCGGTTCTGCAACTCAGGAGAAAGGATGTAGCTAAATATAGATCTGGGAGTTGTTTACTTAGAGGTCATGGGGATGAGTGAGATGTCTTGGGAGGGTGGGACCAACAGTACAGCTATGGGCAGAACCTTGGGAAACAGCATTAATTAAGCGATGAGGTGAGGAAGAAGAGTGTATGAAGAACAGTGAAGCAGCTGTAAGTGATGAAGGATAAAAACCTGTGGGTGGCTGTGTCCTGTGGGAAGAGAGCTCTCTCCTGGCTCTCCAGAGTAACAGCTTAAGCTCTTGGTTCTTACTTTCCAATAAAATAAGGACGTTATATTAGGAAAGCTTTCTAAGTCTTTTTAGTCAGAAGAGTGATTGCTGTCTTGACTGATTAGATACAGAAAATTAGGGAGAGAAAGGAGTTGACAGTCATTCCAGGGTCAATGTCAAATGTACAACATTCCTCACATCCGCTTAGGGAAAAAAAAAAATTTGAAATCATTTCAACGACTATTTCATACATGAAAATATGTGGTTGTCTCAGAATCCTGCATGGATTTTTTCATTTCACTCATGTAATACCTAATACAGACTGCCATGAATTTGTTGTGAATATTTGTGTGTAAACTCAGGGCTGTGACAAATGGCACTATTCCCGTGCTTGGTTTGAAATGGTTTGTTTATTCATTTGTCTCACAGATATTTGCTGAGTGCTTTCTATGCTACTTTCAGCGCTAGGAGCACAATGAGCTAGATCCAGCCACTCCAGGTCACTTCTTAGAGTGACCAAGAATTATCAGGAATCATTTTATTTTATTTATTTTTTAACCATCACCCAAGGATTTTTTTTCCATTGGTTTTGAGAGAGAGTGGAAAAGAGAGGGCCTCGGCCTGTAACTGGAGAACATGCTCTTGACCAGAATAGAAACCGGGACCCTTGGGTCCAAAGGCTGATTCTGTCCACTGAGCCAAACCAGCTAGGGTAGGAATCACTTTATTTTAAATATATTTATTGCTACAGGAAGATTGAGATATCTTTCTTTACTTTTTAAAATATATTTTTATTGATTTCAGAGAGGCAGGGAGAGGGAGACAGAGACAGAAACATCAATGATGAGAGAACATTGATTGGCTGCCCCCCTGCATGCCCCACACCGGATGGAGCCTGAAACCAGGAATGTGCCCTGACCAGAGATTGAACTGTGACCTTCTGGTTCATAGGTCAACGCACAACCACTGAGTCATGCCAGCTAGGCAAGATATCTCTCTTAATATACAAATCACAAATTGAGGGTTTGTTGGTAAACTTTGAATAATTTAAGAAAAGCCTCTTGAGCTCATTGTTGAATCACTTACATCAACTCATAAAATTTTTGCATCATCATGAATTCCCACAATAACCATTGAGCGGAATGATTCATATCCTTCTAAATAATAAAAGGCTAATATACAAATTGTTCCCTTCTGGAGTTTGAGCAGGAGACCAGTTCAATCACTCACTATGACGCACACTCACCACCAGGGGGCAGTGAGGAACATGGTGGGCAACCAGCGGTGACAGTGGGGCACTGTGGAAGTGAGGGAAGGGGGAGGCAGGGAGGCAGGGAACCTGATTGGCCCTGATTGCTAGCCAGGCCTAGGGACCCTACCTGTGCACGAATTTCATGCACTGGGCCTCTAGTAATTTATAAAAACAATGTTTCACAGATATTTTAAACAACTAAATCCAATAAAAATTCTATGTGTATATAACTGGAAAGGAACAAATGGGTTTTTCAGAGGTAGGAGAATTCTTATTTTCTTGTCAGAAAATTGACAACAACAGAATGTGGACTCAAAGCAAAAATGCCCATCTTCTGAGTCTTCTTTAGCTTTTAAAACCTAGATAGCAAGAACTTGACTGATAAGAATTTGTCTTCCATTTTTTTAAAAATCAATCTTTATTGTTCATATTATTACAAAGGTTACTCATTTCTTCCCCCCTCCACCAGGTTCCTACCCCACCTTCTGCCCCCTCCCCATCCCCCATTGTCCTCATCCATAGGTGCACAGTTTATGTTCAGTCTCCTCCCACATCCATTACTCCCCTCTCCTCGAGAAACGTCAGTCCACTCCCCTCCCGTATCTCCGATTCCACTACAATCAACAGTTAATATTGTTCATCAGGTTTTTCAATTTCCCTGTTTGTTTTTTTTTAATTAATAAACTTGTATATTTTTAAGAATAAATTTTAAAATCTAATAATTTTAAACCTTGTTTTTTCTGCCCTGGGAACTGAGAAGCAAACTTGTTTACATGTAAACTTGTGTAAATGGACACATTGTTTAAAGATAGCTGCTGGCTGGAATTGGATTACCTGTTCTGTGTGGGAAGGGCTTGTCTTCCCCTTTCTCCATTGAAATTAAGGTGTTAGCTTTAAAACCTCTTTTTGGCAAGAGATCTTAAACTCTCAGAACTTTAAATTTTTCAGGTAGTAAATCAACTACTCAGCATCCTCCCAAATCAATAACACCTGCACATGCCCAAGGATACACTTCACGCAAAAGACACTTCCAAATAGATCAACCAACCTCATCCAGACCCCACACAAGGCACTCACAGATCAACACCCCAGCATTACAATAACTCAACACATCCAGATCCAAGCCTTCATCACTCGATTCAGCCTCCAGCCATGTCTGAGAAGCAGCCCTGGGCATGGGCAGGCAAGGAGCGAGCTGTTCCGGGCCTGGCTGCTCCCAACCCGGCTTCTCTGGGCCTGGCCACTCCTGGCCTGGCTGCTGCTTCTCCGAGCTTGGCTGCTCCCGACCCGGCTTCTCTGGGCCCGGCTGCTTTGGGCCCGGCCACTCCGGGCCTGGCTGCTCCGGACCTGGCTGCTGCTGCTCTGGGCCTGGCTGCTCCCGACCTGGCTGCTCTGGGCCCGGCTGCTCCGGGCCTGGCTGCCGCTGCTCTGGGCCTGGCTTCTCCCGACCCAGCTGCACTGGGCCTAGCTGCTCCGGGTCTCACTGCTCTGGGCCTGGCCTCCATGGGCTTGGCCACCTCTGCCCCAGGCCTGGCTGCCACTGCCCTGGGCCTGGCCACTCTGGGCCTGGCCGCTGCTGCTCTAACATTATGTCTTTTTTTTTTTTTTTAACGCATTTATGTTGCAATGTTGGCTGCTGAGTTGAGTTCTGTCTTAGTCTTCGATCTTTTCAAGATCTTCTTTGTATTATTTCTTAAGTAATTTTACTATCTTTTGCTATAACTTGATTTCTTCACATTTGAAAACTTCGGTTTCTTCCTCCTCGTCCTGGAAGCTCAGCAGGTTGGCCTGCGTCGCCCCTTTGTTCTCCGTGGCCTGCTGCACGGCTTCAGCCTGTTGCCGGGGTCGGCACCACCCAGGAAGCAGACCCCAGCCTTGGTTCTGTTGCCCGCGCTCAGCAGTCGAGGCCCAGCGGCACCTCCCCTCCCAGGGGCCCTGTCGCCTGGCTCCTTGCTGGCGCCCAGCTTGCCGGTGCCCAGCAGCAGCTCCCGCTCCTCATTGCGTTCTTCCCAGACTGGAGCTTTTGTCTCCTTCCCGCTTGGGGAGTCTAGCATCAGAGTCAACAGACCATCCTCTGCGCGCAACGTGCGTGACTCCAGGGGCTCTGCCTTTCGCCGCTCCCCCAGGACTCCACCTCACAGCCCCGTCTCCCTCTGTTTGAGGTTGGGTCCCCAGGGACTGGCCTAGAACTGGGGTTCAGAGCAGTCGGAACTGGGGCTCAGAACAGCTGGAGCTTTTGTTTCCTTCCTGCTAGGGCAATCTAGCATCAGAGTCAACATTCCGTCCTCTGCACACAATGTGCGCAACTCCGGGGGTTCCGCTTTTCGCCGCTCCCCTGGGATTCCGCCTCACAACCCCGTCTCCCTCTGTTTGAGCCTGGGTCCCCAGGGTCTGGCCTAGAACTGGGGTTCAGCGTTGTCGGTTCTGGGGTTCAGCCCAGTCCAGGGCTTTTATTTTCTTCCTGCTAGGGAACACCAGCAAGGTACTCCGCCTCCCCCTCCTCTCCGGCTCCATCCTCTCCCCACGTGTGCACCGTGTCTCCGTACCTTAGGCTTTTACAGCTCCTCTGATTTTCCTTCTGGTTTTCTCTTTCCTTCTTGTAGAATTTTCAGTCAGTCGACTTCCTGTAGCTCTGGGCAATGTCCATTTTATATTTTAGTTGTATTTTATTGAAATTGTTGTGTGCGGCTGCGGTTAGGTATTTACCTGTGCAGCCATCTTGGATCCACCCCTCCCAAAGGTGTGTGAATCATTAATCAGTTGCCTCTTGCACACCTCCTACTGGGGATGTGCCCGCAACCAAGGTACATGTCCTTGACCAGAATCAAACCCAATAAATATTTGTTGGATCAATGGATAAGTTGTACCTTTTACCCTCTGTGCCTAAATATGCCCTCTTGTGAGTTTGTGAAAGAAAAGCTTTATAAGCCTCTCTTTAGAAAGAGAGAATGTTGAGATAAAAAATGTGATTTCCTTGCCGAGACCGGTTTGGCTCAGTGGATAGAGCATCGGCCTGCCGACTGAAGGGTCCCACGTTTGATTCCGATCAAGGGCATGTACATTGGTTGCGGGCACATCCCCAGTAAGAGGTGTGCAGGAGGCAGCTGGTCGATGTTTCTCTCTCATCTTATGTTTCTAGCTCTCTATCCCTTTCCCTTCCTCTCTGTAAAAAAATCAATAAAATATATTTTAAAAATTTCTTTATTGATTAAGGTATTACATATGAGTCCTTATCCCCCCAATACCCACTCATACTCTCTTCCTCCCTGGTGTCTGTGTCCATTGGTTAGGCTTAAATGCATGCATACAAGTCCTTTGGTTGATCTCTCCCCCTTACCACCATCCTCCCCTACCTTCCCTCTGAAGTTTGACAGTCTGATCTATGTTTCTCTTTCTCTGGATCTGTTTTTGTTCATCAGTTTATGTTGTTCATTATAGTCCATAAATAAGTGAGATCACGTGATATTTATCTTTCTCTGCCTTAACTTGACCAGCACTGTGAGACTTGACAAGCAACATAATCTGTGTGGCAGCTATGGCAACAGATACTACAGATTGCCTGCCACAGGTTACAGGGATGGCAGCTCATACCCGAAGGAACTTACACCAGTTATGTAGAATGTCTTCATGTCACAGAGGGACTCTACACATAGGTGTAGGATAAACTGTGTCTGTGCTGCAAAATTCCCAGAAGGTAGCGGTCTGAGAATAATTTCTTCCCTGGCATCCTGCAAAGGCAGTGAAGATGGCCTGAGAGAGCATGGCAGGTGAAAGGGAATGAATTCCATGACTCAGTGTTGTGGTAGTGTGAGCTGGAGTCAAAATGTCACAACTACTCTATGGTTGTACGCATAATTATAAAGGATCATTATATCACCACCCTGAGTTATCTCTTTTGTTTGTTATCCTAATAAAAATTTTCTTCTTTTTAATAGAATATGGATTGTGTTCAGTTCCATTCGAAAGTAAGCTCTATCTAGTTGGTGGACAAACAACAATCACGGAATGCTATGACCCTGAACAAAATGAGTGGCGAGAGATCGCTCCCATGATGGAAAGAAGGATGGAGTGTGGTGCTGTCATCATGAATGGATGTATCTATGTCACTGGGGGATATTCCTACTCAAAGGGAACGTATCTTCAGAGCATTGAAAAGTACGATCCAGACCTTAATAAGTGGGAAATTGTGGGTAATCTTCCAAGTGCCATGCGGTCCCATGGATGTGTTTGTGTGTATAATGTCTGATTGGATTTGTAGAAATGACCAAGTAATCACTGTTTTGGGGGGTAGCAGAAAAAAAAATGCAGGGTTTGGAGTTCCTTGTTTGTTGTTATGGCCTGGCACATAGTAGGTAAATTTTCATTTCCAACACCAAGTCTATACCCCAACCTAGTGATGAATGATCAACAGAAATCTAATGTATATCTGCAGTTGGAGCAATGGGATTAGCATCTAAAATATCTGATTTTCAAAGGTGGTATGGAATATTGGACACTTGGTAAAAGGGGAAATGCCTTTATAGTAATTTTTTTCTCCTGGTAGCATGGACACTGGGTGCAGGAAAGAATCATTCTTTGGAATGAAATGTCTCTTATGACCCTCTAATGTAATTGACAGTGTACACTAAAGTTTGGTTTCACTAGTAGGGAATTTGAAATTTAAGGAGGGAATCTTCTCTACCTCCACAAAATCAACACTTTACAAAAGTATTTTTTTAATCACCTTTAGAATTATTTAGAATGTGGTCTTACTTTAAGTTTAGTTTTTTTTTTTTTCCTTTGTTGTGTGTATAACTCATTGTTATTCTTTATTTACTGACTAGCATATATACAAGATACTGTACAAAAGATAATTACTGTTGAGAGTTTACAAACTAAATTTAAAAGAATGGCAAATCTGAGAAATTGCAAAGAAAATAGTCAAACATTTGCTGATGGTAAAAACTGTTTTTAATATTCAGCTTTCATGTGAATCACTAGATTAGGTATCTTTTGTTTAAGCATGTTAGAAAATCCTCTTTATTTTTAAGTACAGATACGTCTGCATGTAAAATTGAATTTTAGAGCCAGAAAGCATGCAGAACAGTTGTGATACAATAGAAAATACCTTGATGAGAATTTTGCATCCATTTCCCATTTCTGCCACTAACTAGAACCTCTCCTCAATTAGAGGTTCCCAACCCATGCACACTGGCACTTTGGGTCATAAGTGTGCCTAGATATGGATCCTCATTGCCCTTGGGGCAGCCATAAGTGGCCTGGGTGGCTGCAATTTCTGGGCCAGCAACACTTTTGTCCATTTTCTATAACTGTCCATGTGTGCTATAACTTGAAAAAGGTTGGGAAACATTGCTTAAATTAACTCATCTAAACTTTTAGTAATCTGTTAGACCATCTATCCACACCCTTCATTTTTTAAAAAAGAAACAGTTATTTTTAACTTTAAATACAGAAGTTTAAAATTACTTAACACTCCCTTTTTTTAATTTTAGGAAGAAACTGTTTAAATGCATTTACTTTAGATGGCACTTAAATAGATATAATGCCCTGGCCAGTTTGGCTCAGTGGATAGAGCATTGACCTCTGGACTGAAGGGCCCCAGGTTTGATTCCGGCTAAGGGCACATGTCCAATTTGCAGGCTCAATTCCCAGTAGGAGATGTGCAGGAGGCAGCCAATCATGATCTCTCTCATCATTAATGTTTCTCTCTCTCTCTCTCTCTCTCTCTCTCAAATCAATAAAGAAATATATTTAATAAATAAAATAGATTCAACCCTTTTGGATTGCAACCTGGTACTACATAGAAAGAACCATAAGAATAATATAAAAACAAAACAAACAAAACAGAAAAATGCAAGTGCATGAAGATGTTTATGTCTGTATTACTTATAATAGCAAAAAATTGGAAATAATCTACATGTTAAAGAAGAAAATGGGCCAATAAAAACTGTGAAATGTTATACTGCTATTAAAGTAACTATTTGGGAGACTGTAGAAATATGGATGTGTCTATAAAATAGTAATAAAGTAAGCACAGTGTAAAATAGTATGCACACTATGATTGTGATTTTGTAAAATCTTTATGCATGTGGAAGGTAATTTGCAAAACTGAAATTCATTGTGTTAGTGTTGGGTGATATGGAATGATTTTTAATTTATTTAAATGTCGTTCTTTAATATGACTTTGTATTTTCAATAAAAATAAATAAAGCACTATATATGGTAAATTGCTTGAATTTGGGCCAGTTGAGTTGAAGGATAATCTGAATTATAGACTTTTTCAGTCTGTTAACTGAATTACAGACTATTTTATTGCCCTCAAGAACATTTAGCAGTTAATGCCGGACCAATACATTGCCTAGTCATGCTTAGAGATCTGTTTTATGGAATAGATGCGAACAGTTGCACTCACTTTTCCCTCTTTTTATTTATTTATTTTAAGTAACATTTTAAAAAATAAATAATATCTTTTTCGTTGTTTTTAAAGAGAAAGGAAGGGAGAAGGAAAGAGAAACATCAATTGGCTTTCTCTTGCACGCCCCCTACTGGGGATCCAGCCCACTACTGGGATATGTGCCTCCACTAAAATCTAACCAGTGACTCTCAGTGCACTAGACGATGCTCAACCAACTAAGCCACACCAGCCAGGGCTCCCCGGGTTTAACCTGTGTAGGTCCTAGAAAATTCTGATTCAAGTTCAACCTCTGGGAATTTTTTTTTTTTTTTTTTTTTTTACCGTTTCAGCCACAGGAAACTCACATTTAAAGGATACATCATTTATATATGCATATGTGTGTCTTTTAGCTAGTTTTGAGATCATGGATCACATTTTATTCTTCTTAGTATTCTCAAGGTCTAGCATTTCACTTGTGTATCCAGCATACTTTTTGGGAAGGATGATGGTATTGAGTATTTTTTTTTAAAATATATTTTTTTATTGTTTTTTTACAGAGAGGAAGGGAGAGAGATAGAGAGCTAGAAACATCGATGAGAGAGAAACATTGACCAGCTGTCTCCTACACAACCCCCACTGGGGATATACCTGAAACCAAGATTCATGCCCTTGACCGGAATCAAACCTGGGACCCTTCAGTCCGAAGGCCGACGCTCTATCCACTGAGCCAAATCGGTCAGGGCGGTATCAAGTCTTTTTACAGAAAAGCATGCTGAGGTATTTGAAAGATATTGAAAAGAGTTTGTGATCTGAGGTGTTTAATTTGCAGCTCCTATTTTCTGTAAAACTTTGTTTTGCTATTGATTTGTGCACACAAGAAAGGATTAGGAGGTAAACATTTCTGTCAGAATCAACCCAATTTCCAAATCACTGTAGTATGAACAAAAAATATTTTACTGTAATTGCATGTAGGCTGTTACTGTGGGAAGGTAAACACTGCTTTATGAAATGATTAAAATTGGGGAGATGGTTTGAAGCATGACTTTAAAAGGATTCTTTAAGTATCCAAATTTTAAAAGTTGCTGTTTCTCACAATTCTTATTTTTAATGTTTAGCTGTCATTGAAATAGGATCAATGTCTAGGGTACTAATTGCCTAAAGGCACATTAGCCTTTATTTTCACATTTATGTAAATATATGCTGTGTTATAGACCGAATGCTTGTGTCCGCCAAAATTTATAAGTTGAAGTCCTTACTCCAGTGCAAATGTATTTGGAGACAGGGTCCATGTGGAGGTAAAGATAAATGAGACCAGCTGGTGTGGTCTCTAAAGAGCATATTAAACAGCTTAAAGTCAAAATCCCAAAAAGCAGCTTCAGAGTGGCAGAATTTTGGTTCCTTCATCTTTTATGTATTAGTTCGCACAATAAGCAGTTATTAGCATCCTTCAAAGGTGACTTATCAGGTTTATTGGTGTTTTTTAATTATTGTGGACTCAAGCATTTAAAGGTACTTGGCATTTTTCAGTATGTTGTAGTTATTCTTCTTGATGCTCAGTTTCCTCTATCTTGAGCCAGTGGAAATGTCATCAGAGAATTGGGTGGATTGCCCTCCTTTACCAGTAGGAGTGAGGTTCTCGGGGCACCACTGGAATAAGAATTCCGGAGGCCCTTGTAGGATGATGAGATGTGGCAGAAAGCTTTATTTGTGTGACATTCCATCTCTGGGTTTCAAAAGTCCCATTTCCCTGAATGCAAAGCCAGTGTCCAGAGTTTCCATCCCATGGTGGAGCTGGCTCCAACGTGACATCATGCTAGTTTCATTCCATCAGTCCGTTGTGTGTGGCTGTGGGCTGTGGACAAGTGTGCAGGAGCCCTGAAAGGCAGGAGTCAGGCTCAAGGGCAAGAGGGGGAACGCCTTTGTTGATGTATCTCAGATTTCTTGTCCATGCAGTGGCCATACCATCCTGGCCAATGACCTGTTCCCAGCTCTAATAGTACCTTCCATATGTCACCCAGACTTTACTGGGCATACCTCTAATATTTGGCCTTCCCTGTGTTCCTTTCCAGTTAATTAATAACTGGGTAAAATACAGCCATATCAGCAGGCACTACAGATTGCTTTTCATACTTTTTTTGGGTACATTTCCTGCCTCAAACCTGAGAAGAGGACCAAAAGTTTTTGCCTTTTGGGATATTGATTTTAAGCTATTTATTAAGTAAGAAGAGATTCGGAAAGAACCTTTGACCCTTCCCTTTTTGCGTAAGAGATTCAGATGGAAAGGCCTACCCCAGGAAGGAAATCTTAGGATGTTTACCTTAGCCTAATTTGAAGTAAGTATAGAAAACAAGAGGCTTCAGGCTGGGCCTGTTACCTAGATCCTCTGTGTCCCATTGTTTCTGAGTTGCCAAACAAGCATTCTGCCATCTACGTTCCCTTTCTCCTCAACTACCTGAATATCACCCATTCTCACTTCTGAAATCTAATACTCCGCCTCCCCTTCTTTCTTCTTTGTAAAAAAATGTTTTGTATTTTTTTAAAAATATATAATATTGCTTTACTGTCTTTGAAAATTTCAGGCATATTATATGAATTCCCCATGCACAAGTATTAAGCTTTGATTTTCTCCTATTAATCTATCTCTGTTAATTTATTAGCCCAGCCAAAAGAATTTAAAAGATGAGAGAAAATATATATATATATATATATATATATATATATATATATATATATATATATATATATTTAGCCCCCACAGCTGGAATCAGCCATTTCTCCAAGCAGCTAGGATGTCTGTTAGTGAAAGTGGTATTTTAAGACCTTTATCTGGGCTCTAGGGATGTTTATTGCTA